AAGAACTACAGCAACTTCTTCGACTCCCCAAGCCAGGCTTGGGGGGCAGGCTTGGGGGGCAGGCTTGGGAGGCAGGCTTGGGAGGCAGGCTTGGGGGGCAGGCTTGGGGGGGCAGGCTTGGGGGGGCAGGCTTGGGGGGCCAGGCTTGGGGGGCCAGGCTTGGGGGCCAGGCTTGGGGCCAAGCTTGGGGGGCAGACTTGGGGGGGCAGGCTTGGGGGGGCAAGCTTGGGGGGCAGGCTGGGGGGCCAGGCTTGGGGGGGGCCAGGCTTGGGGGGGGCCAGGCTTGGGGGGGCCAGGCTTGGGGGGGCCAGGCTTGGGGGGGGCCAGGCTTGGGGGGCCAGGCTTGGGGGCCAGGCTTGGGGGCCAGGCTTGGGGGCCAGGCTTGGGGGCCAGGCTTGACTTGTGAGACCTTGGTACAATAGACTGTTGCTCAGTGCGGCCCGCAGGCCAATAATTTCACTACAAACTGGTTGTTCGGCACTTGTTGAAAGAACGTGTGTAATTTTTCTTTAGGACGTCCACATTCGTTCCAACAATATTTATTACGCTTGATGAGATGATATTAGACAGCCTCGGATCTCGGATACAATGTTCTCTGATTGTGCCTATGGCCCTCTACTACCAGGGATAGTAGAATAGTCCCTCACTGGCGACTACTCTGCATGGCCCTCTACTACCAGGGATAGTAGAATAGTCCCTCACTGGCGACTATTCTGCATTTCCTACCATATTGTTCGCCCAGTATATTGATATTTTTCGATGAAGTTTGGCCTTCCAGTATTTTCAATATATATGTATTCTATACCTATTATATTATTATATTATACAATATTTATATATAAACCTCTCCCGTCTTCTTTCTAAAGAGAACATGTTGAGAGTTTTTGAGACGGTTGAATAATTTAGGTGTTTTATCGTGTCTATAGGTGCCGTACACAACTTGTTCTCTGTACTCCCTATATTTCAGCACTCTCCTGTTCTGAAAGGGGAAACGAGCAATACTTAAGGCGGGACCTACCTTGCGGTGGTTCCGGGGTTCAAGGTTCCCGAGGCCCGGTCTCTGACCAGGCCTCCTAAGTTGATGCCATAAGCTGGGACAGCAATATCGACAGCGTCAGCAGCGTCGTGGAAGCGAAGGTGAGTCATTCTGAAAGTGAAGCGAGGCCCTTCCTGATGGGTATTAGGCCACTCCCTCCCTTCCTCCCTCAGGCAGGACTAACCACGCCCTTCATCCCCCTTCCCAATCCCAAGCACACCAGTTACACCACCCAACCATCTCGCCCCCATCCCCACCTCACCAGACAATCCGGCCACACCCTCCACGGGCTCCACCCCTGCAGGAGGTGGACCCGTTCCCTACACCCCTACACCCCCCCCCCCACCATCCCTGGACCCGGAGCGAGAGTAAACACAGTTTTCCCGATCCATACACATTATGTATAGGTCCCCCCTCCCCCGCCCACACCTCCACCATCTCCCCAACGTTGTACCCGCGTGCCGGCGGCTTCTAGTTTTAAACTCGAATTGAGGCTCGTAATCACGTCTGGAATATGAAAGGCAGACGAACAGAGAGAAGAGGAAGAGGGGGAGGGAGAGCAAGAGAGAGAATTATATATATATATTATATATATATATATATATATATATATATATATATATATATATATATATATATATATATATATATATATATATATATATATATATATATATATATATATATATATAATATATATATATATATATATATATATATCGCATTCCCATATTGCTTAGACACACACACACACACACAAACTCATTAATCAAAATAACACCATATTTTTCTGCGAAAATACTGTAATCTAAAACTAGTATTATCGGTGCAGGAGAGAGAGCGTCGAGGCGGGTGGGAGTGGCAGGCCCACGGACTGCTTGCTGGCGCTCCCTCAGATATTAAACGTTTGATGGCCTGGGGGGCGCTAGCCCCTGGGTCCCGGGAGAACGTTTAACTCTGCAGCCCCCGTGGCAACGCCGCCCCCACCTCAAAGAAATTAAGTGGAGTTCCAGAGGCGGAGGTCAATTACCCCGTGTTTTACTGCAAGTTTGGTCGTCGGTAAAGTAACGAGAGTGTATGTTGCTGTGTATATGTGTATTATTAGTGGTGTGTGTGTGTGTGGTGTGTGGTGTGTGGTGTGGTGTGGTGTGTGTGGTGTGTGTGGTGTGTGTGGTGTGGTGTGTTGTGTGTGGTGTGTGGTGTGGTGTGGTGTGTGTGGTGTGTGTGGTGTGGTGTGTGTGGTGTGTGGTGTGTGTGGTGTGGTGTGGTGTGTGGTGTGTGGTGTGGTGTGTGTGTGTGTGTGTGTGTGTGTGTGTGTGTGTGTGTGTGTGTGTGTGTGTGTGTGTGTGTGTGTGTGTGTATGCGTGTGTGTGTGGTTGTTGGGTTGTTAGTGTGTTGTGACAGGTCACCACACCAGTACCGAAGGACAGACCCCCCCCCCCCCCCCCACACACACACATACACAGTGTGTAATATGGACGCTGCTGACATTATGATATTTTATAAAATAACAAAAAATGTTATAAACAGCGCAAAATCCCCACAATGGCCGACCAATACACAAATATCATTTCTCCGCTAGAAAAAATAGGCACATGTATGTTAGGGTAAAAATATGTATGAATACAAGATCCACTGAATTGTGCCATTGTTTTTTACGAACTATGGAGCAATTTGAATACGAAGCGATATCAATTTCGATGCGATATTTTCCTCGTGTCACTTGCTTACTCGGCTTTAAGGTGTCATCTATTAGGACAAAGAGGTAAGGATTTGTGTACATATGAAGACCTTGAAGACTAAATGCCTGTCTAAATTGATAATGGTCTGTTATGATGGTCCGTTATGGACCATTATCAAGTCGACTGAAACGTCGTCGTCTCCTCGTCTTCTGGTGTGTGGTTTAGTCTCCAAGACATTTGTGTGGCTGGCATGAGGTAACAAAATTACTTAACAAATACCTTACAAGAAAGTTTATGATAATTAGTTGCCCATTACGCGGCGAATAATTAAACAAACCAACAAAAGATAATAAAGTTTACCCGCGATTGACGAAAAGGTGTGTGTGTGTGTGTGTGTGTGTGTGTGTGTGTGTGTGTGTGTGTGTGTGTGTGTGTGTGTGTGTGTGTGTGGTGTGTGAGGTGTGTGTGTGGTGTGTGTGTGTGTGTGTGTGTGTGTGTGTGTGTGTGTGTGTGTGGTGTGTGTGTGTGTGTGTGTGTGTGTGTGTGTGTGTGTATGTAGGATGGGATCATCAGAAGGGGTAGGATTAGGTGGGGATGGAGGGGTAGGTGAGATGAAGAGGGGGATGGGGTGAGGTGAGGAAAGGGAAGGATGAGGTGAAGGAACAAAAGGGCGTGAACGAAAAAAAAAAAAGAAACGAAAAGACAGAAAGGGAGGGGAGGATAAGTGAATGCTGAGGGGTTGGGGGGGGGGGGGAGGGGGGGGGGGTGGGGGGGAACCAGTGGGGGGGGGAACAAGGTGAGGGGCAGCGTGACGAAGGAGGTGCTCTCTCTCTCTCACACACACACACACACACACACACACACACACACACACACACACACACACACACACACACACACACACACACACACACACACCTCTCACACACACACACCTCTCACACACACACACACACACACACACACACACACACACACACACACACACACACACACACACACACACACACACCTACCTTTATGACTCGCTTGTGTCTCTATCACTGTTACCTCGTGCTCATAACATCACTAATATTGATCAATTCCACCAGACTCTTGTGTGTCGCATCACGTCTCCCTTCCTCCTTTTCCCTCCAGTGGTCAGCGTCCAGAGATCCGTCAGTCTCACTACCTCAATCCCGTCCGCTCATAAAGCAGCCTTTATGTCTGTTGTGGACGTCTTGGCAAACAACTTGGGATTCGGCCCACACGAAGGGGATGAAATATAATTAGATGGATGCAGACACTCTTTCGTATAGGACAGGTAACAAATCAACGCTTTATAGACAAAGACCCGGATATACACACTACTAACCTGTCCTCAAGCTAGGTTCGTACAAGCCGCGGCCAACCCCAAAGACGCATTAGTCAATTGTAATGTACTGCGTATTCAAAATTGGCATTTTCTCAAATATGTTAATATTATTATAGTAGAATATGTATAGTATACAAACAGTTAGGCCTATCTTAGATTAGGTTAGGGATTTAGGTTCTGTTGACAATTATTTGAATTTGTGGTCCGTGGGTGAAACATTTAAGGTTGCCACCTGACCAGAGGTGGTCAGCGCAGTACTGTTCGTGTTATCAAATATCATCAGTTGTGATTCATGTGAAGTGGTATTTATAAACAAGGGACGGGATTGGCGACTGGATTAAAGAGCATTTAGTCTATGCTGATAAGGCCTGGCTGCCACATCAAGTATAAAGCACTCATAAAAGCAACTGTTGGAGGCGAGCAAGGGTGAGGGTGACTGGGTCATCCATGCTGTGACGGGTGAGCCGCTCACAGCGACTGGCAGTGGGAAGACACTCTCAACAGGGCGGCCAACACACTCCCAACAGGGCGGCCAACACACTCTCAACAGGGCGGCCAACACACTCCCAACAGGGCGGCCAACACACTCACAACAGGGCGGCCAACACACTCTCAACAGGGCGGCCAACACTCGCACAATGAGAACAGAGTCCATGAGAGCAAGCAACACAATATATTGTAACACCAGACGACGGCCGACCAGTCCAGACAGATTTACATGAAGCAGCGAGCACAAATCTCTTGTACCTTATACCTTCAGTTGTCTGAATCCTCATAAAATAGTTATAAAGGTCACAGGAGAGTCTTACTCAGTGCACCAAAGTAGCAGCAGAAAGGCAACAGTTGAGAGTAAAGCAGAAACAGACGAAAAGAAAGGGGATACACTCGATATTCCAGATACACAGACCTCCCTCCCTCCCATGACAAA